GGGACGCTTCCAGCCCCTCCGGCTCCTGCTTCTCCGTCGGCGCCAGCAGCCCCGGCGCGCTCGTGCTGCTTTACTCGGTAGGCGCCCCGGGGGACGGAGCGGGGACCCCACCCCCCGGCCACGACGCAGGCCCGGTAGTGGGGCCTGACCGCCCCCGAGGCCGAAGGGTGATGTGGTTTCCAAGGCAACGGGCATCGCGGGCTGTGTAGAGACGCGCGCGCGCGTGCCGAGTTCCTGCCCGCGGGGGCCCCCGGCCCGGGCACGGGGCGCGAGGGGCCTTCGGGGGGACCGCGGGATCCCGGCCTGCGGCTCCCCGGCTCCGGTGTCCGGGCCCGGATGTGGGCATAGAGTTTTCACGGCTTAAACCGCTCCTCGATCTGGGGAAATCTGGAACTCCCGGAAATTTGTACCGTCCACTTTTGCCTCCCGCATGTCGCTGTACTTTTTGCATGAGTCATTTTGGAAGAAAATGCCACCGGCCACTCTCCGACTTGCCCTTTCGCCACCGCCGGCCGCCTCCCCTGATTTTAACCGGTCGGTTTCGCCTGCAGAAGGTTTGTTGGTAACTCACCGTTTTTATGAAGTAATTACGAGGCGAAAGCCTGGTAGCTCTCAGGTTTGCACAATCCGGGGCTAAGCGGTTTTTCCTGAAACCACTAGATTAATTTTTATCGACTTTAAGAGGAAATAAAAGAATGCATTTTAAAGGTATATTAAGGTCTTAGCGGTGGGCGGCAGTTTCTGACTTTAATGTGAATTCGCATAGGTGAAAACGGAAAAGAACCGAGATAAACAAAACAGTTTCAAAAGAATAGACATGTGGATATCTAGCTACACAGACCGGACATGGGTAAAGCTCTGGGCTTGTGATTGCTCCCGACGGCCCACGTCTCTAAGGCGTCTCACTTTCAGCTGTCTTCTCCTGGGCCTTCCCACCCCAAGGCGCTGCGATGCAGATCTTGTGATCTGCAGCTCCCGAGGGAGTTCGTGGGGAAGAAGGTTCCTGTGGAGTCCGGCTCCCCGGAGCTAGCTCTTTCGGTCCCAAACTGGTTTGTGAATCGACTGCAATTCTCTATATGTATGTTAAAGGAAAGCGTGGGGTTGTCACTTCCCCGTTCACCAAAGGTCCACTTTCCCATGAAAGACGAAGGCAGTCGTTGCAAGTGAGCTTTTTCTACTTCTGAAGCTGGACCGCAACCCTCCTGTAACTGCAGTTTTTACTCTCACAATAACCTACGCTCTTTCTTGTTTCCGGCTGCCCTTATCATTTCCCGAGCCACATGGCGCTTGCGCAACACTCTCGAGTCCGAGAGCGCCGTTGGAGATGTTTCAGACGCTGCCGATTGCAGTAAACGTGGCAGCAATGGGAGCCTGCGGTGTCTTCAGTCACTGTTCTCGGTGGCCAAGATATAGAAGTTAAGGACCCAGCCTTGCTTTTAAGGACTTCAAAGGACGTCGTGAAAGCAAACGAGCAGGACGGCGGAGTGGGGAGGGCAGCGACGGACGCATGCGCAGTGCGCTGGGGCGCGACAACAAGGAGCAGCAGACGGGTTTGGTGACAGGGGAAGAGGGGGCTGTCCTAGCATCTGTGTAAGAAAACCACTTCCTCGCATGTTCGGGGGAACCAGGGAGTAAGGGCAGCATAAAGGGCACATGAGAAATGAAACCAAGGAAGTAGGCAGAGAATATTTCCTAAGGGAATTTTATACATCGCGTTCACCCACCCTGAGGATAAAAATCTCAACTTTGTGGGGCACCATTTAAGCATGGTCACGTTTGAAAGTCTAAGAGCACATCGAGGTTTCCGTGTGGTCATTTGAGTGGCTAAGCTCTCTCGCTGGTTGAGGAAGGGACCCAGTGCGACAACCGTAGAGCTCAGAGCAGGTGGGACACGGTCGCGGTCATCCAGAGGAGGGAGGGAGGCCTGGGAAAGGCAGCGAGGCCGGCGGGGCGGGACGTGGGCACGTTCGCGTGGCGTTTGGAATGTAGTGGGCAGGGAAGAGGCGCAGGCCGAGCCGACTCCTGGTTTCTGTGGTTTGGCGAGTGGGCGGATGGTGATGCCTCTGGCTCATAGGACCCATGGGAGAGCAGCAGGTGGCCTCAGGGCAGCCGCATTTCAGTTAGGGACGTGCTCGGTCTGAGGTGTGAGAGGCAAGATGGGTGGTTTTTAACTTGCGGATTATCATGTTACGGACCAGATGTGTCACGTCCAGATGGACTCTGCCTCTCCGACGTGATAAAGCCTCCCCCGCCTGTGTTTCTCAGACCGTGAGCGCCTCAGGGCGCCTGCGGTCTGTCCCCTCAATGTGGCCCCCTGGGCGTTCCCAGCATTGCTGGCTGTTTTTAGTGCTGAGGACCCAGCACGAATGTCACCTCCTCCGGGCGCCTTAACAGTGCTCCACTCACCCTCCTCGTTAGTTACTCTGTTTTATTTTCCTGACGTGCCCTTTCCGGTGTTGAGCTCCAGGAGTCTCGTACTGGCTCTCAGAGCTGGTGGTTAAATTTTCACGAGGTTTGCAAGCCTATTGTTCAAACACAGTGCTCCACAGTCAGCACTTCCCGATTAGTTCGCCGTTCCCTGTGCTGTTGAGCCCCCTTGTGTGTGCGTCGCTGTGAGGTGGAAACTCTGTGTGACAGTGGCATCTGTCCCCACTCCGTGTTCAATGAGGCTGTGCCAGGCGGGAGTATAGACCCCGGAGACGGGCGGGCGCTGCAGGTTGGGACTCGCTTGGGGCCAACGTCCAGCAGCTCGCCGCCAGCCAGGCCGTGGTGCCCCCGTTTGTTTGCCGTCCGCCTCCCCTTAGGGAGCAGGCGCATCCGTACCCCCTCCTGTGGAGGCCAGGCCGTGGTGCCTCCCCTTAGGGAGCAGGCGCATCCGTACCCCCTCCTGTGGAGCAGTGCCTGCGGGGGGCTCTCGATCACGGCCTGGGGACTGAGCGGGTCCCCCGGAGGAGCAGCTGCGGGATGGGGAGGCAGGGGCGGGTGGCCCGCTGGGCGGGGGAGGCAGGGGAGGCCGGGGAGGCAGGGGAGGCCAGCCTCGGGCCTCTCTGAAGCGCCCCTGCCAGGGCTCCGCTTCGTACAGTGCGCCTGGGGGGCGGAGCCACGTCAGAACCTCTGTTTTATGAGGGTAAATATTTCTCCAGCGTGACACAGGGCAGGACAGTTAATCACCGCGGGCTGCGTGTAGGGGTGACTCGGAGCACTTTCCAAACAGTCCCGATGCTCACAGACCGGATGAATCCCGAACCTCAGGGGGGCCCAGGCCTCGGTACCTCTCGAGTGTCCCAGGCCACTTGGCTGGGCAGCCCGGGTTAGAACCCGCCGGCTTGGACTCCAGGTGCGGGCCAGGCCGGGAGGGTGTGAGCTTGGCCTGTGAACCCCCAGGGCCATCAGAGGCTTTAGGAGGTGGCTTCACTCAGTGATGTACCTGAGTCTGCGGTGACCGCGTTCCTGCTGGGAACTGGGGGTACAGAAACGTAGGGGCCGCGTTTCCTACCCAGACGAGAAGTCTGCGGACCTGTAGGGCAGACGCCAAATGTAAGTCCAGTGAGCACATTAGGTCCCGCCTCGGAAGGTGGCGAGGGTGCCGTCAGCCATCCAGGGCAAGCTGACGGTTGGTCCAGGCTGGGGAGACTTGGGGCGTGGCACACAGGCAAGGGGGCCAGGAGCGAAGTGTCCTCCAGGTGAGCAGCGGCAAAGCGCCGCTTGTGACGGTGCCGGCGTGTGCCCGGTTGCTCACGGGAGGCCGAGGCCGCCTTGATCACCACGACTTTCCAGCAACGCCACGCACGTAGTAGGTGCTCAGCTGTTTGACAGCGAGTGTCGTTAGAGGCAGCAGCCTGAACAAAGGTGTGGGGGGCCATGTGGGAGACACAGAGAGGCCACCACTGCCCCGTCCTGAGACAGCTGCCTATCGGTGCGGGACAGACGTGCCGCATGCTGCACGGCGGGGAGGGAGAGCAGGTCCGCGCAGCCATCGGGTGACAGCGTGACCACACCTCTGCCTTCGCTGCTGTGGGACCGCGGGAGCGTGATTCCACGTGTCTGCCTTCACTTCCCCATGCGAACGAGGGTCATGATAGAGACTGCTTCTCAGCTGTCATAGAGTTGTTCTGAGGATCGTTCCACGTACGTGCACATATGTGCATAAAAAACAGGATTGTTCCGTAACGTATGTAAGTTCTCATAGCGCCTGACACTTAGTAAGCAGCTGTGCACGTTAACCGTGACTACTGCTGTGACTTATCATCGGAAAAACAAACTCTTAAGAGCGGGCACTGCAGACGTCCTCGGTGTCCTGACACGGCGTTTTCGGGAGCCAGCTGGGTCGGCGCCGACTTGCAGCGGACCTGGAGGAGATGAGGGCAGTCACAGGCACACGGGGCCGGGCCGCAGCTCCCGTGGGAGCTTTGTCCTTGAGTGGATTTTCCTTTCGTTTGCACCCATGTCGTCTGATTTGATTCGACATAATTTTGACTTTCTGATACATGCTTCGATTGAATTTTTAAAGCCAAGTAGAAGCAGACAAAATAGTTTATCGATGTGATTGGTGAAACCTTGTAAAATTAATGAGATGTCTACAGCTTGATATCTCATCTTTGCTGTCTTTGTCAGCTTTCCAGAAGGGGTGGTGCCGACTTTTCAAAGGTAGCAGTCAGAATAGAAAGATAAAATATGACAATTCAATATCAATTTATCGATCCTAAGTGTCGTTAAATTTCTCGGTGGATGGAACTCTAACACCAGGACACTCTGCTCTTGTTCATGTGTCACAGAATAAAACTTTTGGCAAAAGCGACACCTTGCCAGGGTCGTCCCTAACCTGCCTCAGCTTCTTTTACGGGATGCACATTCCGTTCTGTCTTTCTCCTTATCCACAGAAGGAGCTCAAAAAGTGGGACGAGTTCGAAGATATTTTGGAGGAGAGGCGGCATGTCAGCGACCTGAAATTTGCGATGAAATGCTACACGCCTCTCGTCTACAAGGGAATCCCTCCGTGCAAGCCAAGCGACATTAAGTGCAGCGTTCTCGACTCTGAAGAGGTTCGCTATGTCATTAAGCAGGTGGGTGACTCCCAGGACCCTCGCCCTCGCCTCTGCCCTCGGCCTCCCTTCCGCGGTGACTTCTTCCCTTTGGGCTAGAACTAGTCCAGGGCCACTGAGCTGAACACTTGCAGATGGTTAAAATGGCAAATTTTATATGACGCGTGTTCACTCGTAGCTTTTAAAATGGGATAACGATAGTTAAATTAGCAGGTCTGACTCGAAAGCGTTTTTGCTGTAACGGTCACCGTCCCTCCTCTCCTCGTCCAAGCCTTGTCGCTGTCGTCCCGCGGCCTCCGTCTCTGCTCCAGCCTCCCGCCAGCCGCCTTCGCCCCGTTCACCTCCGAGGGGGCTCTTTTCCGACCGTGACACGAACCTGGTCTTGCTCCGTCACTGCCCCAGAGGCCTCTGCGTAAAGTAAAGGGATGCAGTTAAGAGGAGACACTTCCCCCTGGCCCCTCAGTCCTGGGCCCACAGAGTCGAGGCCTCAAAAAGATGCGCTATGTAGCGAGAAACGGGCGACCGCACAGCTTTGCGAATGTGCTGAAGGCCACTGGGCGGCGCGCTTTCAAAGGGCTGATTTTATGTTAATGTCACCCCCATCACCCCCGATATTGAACAACTCCTGTGCAGCGTGTTCCTGGGGGAGCAGTCAGTGCAGTGTCCCGGCTCCACTGGGTGTTCCGGGTGACAGCTGCACAGCACACAGACTTCGCTCCTTTTCAAAATCCTTATGCGGGGACGACAAAAGGGTGATTTCGGCTTCCCTGAGGACGGAAACTGTGACCTGTTTGTCTCCAGGCCCTGGACAGTCCTGGCACACAGCCAGCATTGTGTTCTCTTTACTGAGAGAGATGATCTGCCATCCGATTAAAGAGAGCTCTACTCATGAGATCATTGGTGTCACTGATTACCCTGTGGGATTCGGGGGTGCCTGTGCCCGTGTCCTAGCCGTCCGATGTAGTCTGAGTGGCAGTTCAGTGTGACCCCACATTTCCCGTGTGATAGTGGTGAGCAGGCATGTGCTGTGCCGTGGCTGTCCCCCGAAAGGGCCCACCGAGTGTGTCCTGACACGAGCTCATGGGCGTGAGCTCGCTCACACACCGTCTGAAACGCTGTCTCTTTCAATTTCGAGTCTTTAAACTTGTCTAAATGGGATCGTTTATCTACTTTCGTCGTGTCGGAAAATAAACTGTCCGTTCGAGGCTAAGACACAGCATTTCTGAGTTCCGCAGTATCGACCCATTTGGAACCGGTCGTGCTGGTTTGAAAGAGCCTGGGCTCTTTTTCAGACATTTCTCCTGCTGTCTCTCCTCCTAGCTTTCCAAGGAAACCCTCCAACCCGTGGACGTCCTCCAAGGGGAGGCGTGTGAGATCTTGGACGAGATGAGCCACAAGCTGCATCTGGGAGCCATCCGGTTTTTCGCCTTCACCCTGAGCAAAATATTTAAACAGATTTTCTCGAAAGTGTGTGTAAATGAAGAAGGGATTCAGAAAGTGAGTCTTGCTCGTCAGCCCCTCACTACTCAGTCACCCCAAGACTTCTCATCCCACACACACGGCCGCCCCAGCCCTTAGGTGCCCGCCCGGCCGAAGGGGCTCCGCCTCTGGAAGGAGCTGGTTTTCCTGTGACCCCCCCCGCCCACCCACAGACTTCAGCCTGACCAGGTGGGGCTTCCACACTCCCCTGACGCGGTACGAGGAGTCCCGTGGCTGCTTCGCCACTAATATTTGCTTTTACTCAGTTATCTACTTTACTTCGAATGTTTCTCCTTTTTTCCCTTATGACTTTTTAGATTACTGACCTACTGTTTTGATCTTTTTGACTGACGAGTCAAAGGACGCTTGGTCCAGTGTCTGCGGCCAGAGAGTGTTGGCTGGCCACGTCTTAGCTGATCGCAAATCGCCCTGCGTCAGTCAGTTATGCTTAGATTTCAGAAAGAAAGGCAGACGGCACGCCGATACCAGCGGCGGCGTTTAGGTTGGCGGCCTACGGGGTACACCTGTGAGCCGACATGCACCCCCCCCTTCCTGTTCTCCCTGGCAGCGAGCCCAGTGTTTGACCAGAGAAACGCCGCTCCTCTCGTTTGATAGTTCAGAGCCGTTTTTAATGTCCCCGACGGTTCCGTCCTCTCTTACTGCAGACAGGCGGTCTGGTGCAGCCGTCCACATGCCTTTCTAAGTCAGACCGACTTCAGTTCCGTTCCCAGCCGCCCTTTACCGGGCGAGTGACCCCGTCACAGAGCAGGAAGCTAAGGCTCAGGCCTCGGTCACGGACCCGTGGTGCGAGATGGTGCACACGCAGTGCCAGTGAGTGTGTCCACGGTCATCCACGGACGTGCCCGTCCCGACACTGTGGCTCTGTGCGAGGTCGCTCGGCCAGACGTCCCAGGTGGGGTCGCGTGGGTCAAGGAGGCAGGAAGTGGGGTCAGCGCGGCCTCTCACACCCCTCCTCCCGCGTTCTGATCTGAGGCGTGACTTTAACTGTGTGGAAACCGAGAGCGTTGAGTGTGACCCTTGCCTTCCAGCTGCAGCGAGCCGTCCAGCAGCACCCGGTGGTCCTGCTGCCCAGCCACCGGAGCTACATCGACTTCCTGATGCTGTCCTTCCTCCTGTACAGCTGCGACCTGCCCGTCCCGGTCATCGCGGCGGGGATGGGTACGTCCGGTTCCTCTACTTCCTTTGGTTATAAAAAGGGAAGTGTTCAGCGGAGCGGCCCAGCGTGCCGAGGGCTCTGCAGGCGGTGCGGCCTCCGCCCCTCCGCCGTCCTCGTGCGGCCTCGCCACCCCCCACGGACCTGCGCTCTGGTGCAGGTTTGGGGACGACATGACACCACCTCGATTCCACGTTTTTTATTTGGTAATGTACCAGTGACCGTAGGTCAGTCAAGAGACCTGTTTTTTGATGTATTTTTAAGTTGCGGCGAAACACACAGAACATAAAATCATCTTCGCCATCTAAGCGCACAGTTCGGGGGCGTTAAGCGCATTCGCCGCCATCCAGAATCTTTTCATCTTGCAAAACCGCCGCTCTCTCCCCATCGCACATTAACATCCCACCGTGCTGCCCCGCCAGCTCCCGGCACCCACCCTCTGCGTCCCGTCTCTGTGGACGTGCCTCCTGGGACCGCACGTCCGTGGAATCACGTGGTATTTGTCCTTCCGCGACCGGCTTATCTCACTCAGCGTAATGTCCTCAGGGTCCATCCACGACGTAGCCGATGTCAGACGCCTTTTCCGGGACTGAGCGATCTCCCCGTGTACGGTTGGACCACGTTTTGTGCATCCGTTCAGCCGTCGTGGACACCTGGGTGGCTTCCCCCTCTGGCTGTCGTGAAGCGCGTGTTGCGCACATGGGTGTGCGGATGTCTGTTCAAGTCTCTGCCTTCAATTCTGGCACATTCCCCAAAGGAGAATTGCTGGCATCTCCGGTCATTTATGGTCGGTTTCGAGGCGCCGCTGTGCCGTTGCCCAGAGCAGCCAGGCGCTCTCCCTCCCGACTTTGTGCGCGTCGTCGCCAGCACGGTTGGTTTCGGTTTGGCTTCAGTGTACGTAGCGGCGTCTCGGCGTGATTTTGATTTCCCTGTTGATTAGTGATATTGAGCATCATTTCGTACACTTTTTAGCTATTTCTGTATCTTCTCGAGAGACATATTCAAGTTTTTTGCCCATTTTTAAATCGGGTCGTTTTTGTCATCGTTGAGTCATATATTCTGGGTATCGATCCCCTATCGGATGCGTGATTTGAAGATACTTTCTCCCATCCCATGGGCTGCCTTTTTACTCTGTCGATCGTGTCCTGGAACGCACAGAAGTTTTTTCTTCCGATGTAATCCCGTTTATCTGTTTTTCGTTTTGTTCTTTCTGCTTTTGGTGTCATATTCAAGACAACATCGCCAAATCAAATGTCAGGAAGCTTTTTCCCTATGGTTTCTTCTGCGAGTTTTATCGTTTTAGGGCTTTCGTTTAGGTCACAGATCCATTCTGAGTTGATTTCTTAAGTGGTGCAGGGGCAGAGTCCGAATCCCTGCCTAACGTTTTTGGAGCTACGTAACCTTCAGCAGCGTAGCCGTGTCGCGGTTCAGTGGATTTGCTGTTACTAACAGCTCGACGATGTATTTCCACGTCCGCGCTTTCATTTCTGTAGGATCGCTCGGGCAACTAAGTCATCCCCCGTCTTTGAGGGCAGCGGGGGCGGGGGTTCAGCGCGCACCTTTATTGACGAGTGCAGTGACAGCGAGGTGACGCCGCAGGGGCTCGAGCGCTTTCACCCGTGTGGACGTGTGAGGCAGCTGTTCGGACATTAGGGGCTGAGGCGAGCCGGGCTCCTGTCACACCCACGACAGCCACCCGCCCCCCGACCCCGGCTCTGTCCAGGGGCGCCATGGGAAAGAGGCCACTTCCGCCGGGTGGGCGACGGGGACGGTGGGAGCGCGTTTGGCCGGCTGTCCGGAGCGCGGGGACACGCGTTGGCCTGTCGTCAGAGGGACTGAGGAAATCCCATGATGATGTGGTCACAGGGGTCGCGTTGCCCACTGGTCTGGTTGTAAACGCAGAGGCGTGTGGAGGGGACAGGGTGACCTCTCAGTGAGCACCTGCCCCGGGTCCCTTCCCCATAACTGTTACGCGTCCCTTCTTAGGGATCTCAGTACCAGAAAGGACCGCCGTTAAGGTCGCAGGGCGCCTCACGCACGCAGACCCCGGCGACGGAGTTTGAGTTGAGACCTGCTCGCGTGTCCGGGTCCGCTGACTGCCGACCCCATGTTTCAGACTTCCTGGGCATGAAGGTGGTCGGGCAGCTGCTGCGGATGTCGGGCGCCTTCTTCATGCGGCGGACCTTCGGGGGCGACAGACTCTACTGGGCCGTCTTCTCGGCATACGTGAAAACCATGCTGCGGGTAAACGCGGGCGCACGCGGGCTCGCTCTCCGCTGACGTCGCCGTGCCCTCTGCGCGGGGGCTCGGCCGCATTTCCTCTGGGACGGGGCCTGGTCGGGGCGGTGCACAGGGCGGGCGGGCCTCGGGGGAAGGACTCGAAAGAAGCATTTATCGCTTGGAGCGTAGGCAATGGGTTTTGTGTTTTGTTTTGTTTCTTTGTGTTTTCTCTTTAAAGAATGGTTATGCTCCTGT